GACTGGATGGCCCTTGTGGTCTCTTCCAACTCTTATGATTCTATGATGCACCTGTAATATGTAATACTATAATATGTAATTGTAATATGTATGTAAAATGTAAAAATATGTGAAATTGTATATGATGCACCTGGGAAAATGGATCATGTGCTGGGAAATCTACATTTTTATCTTTTGCAAATGGACTGACTGGGTTGCAAAAGCAGAAATGATGTAGTGAGCGTCACTACACTTCCTTAGAAGTGTTGAAAATGAAATGAAAAGCAAAGTCCGGTTATAGCTAAACTAAATCACGGGTATAAATGCATTCTAGCACTAGAGAAAATACTTGAGTGATTTTCACATGCTGTCTTGCTCTTAAGCACCATATCCTACAGTCTTCTTCTGGGTGAGGCCAGAAGATGTGAACTGAATTGATTGGTTTCTTTTCCAACCCAACTGTGCAGTGAAGTAGCTGCACAAGGGCTGTGCCATCTACTTAACTCATCTTTCACCAAGCAATGAGGTTCCTATCGAGTTTCAGCTCATTCCTTTCGTCTACTGACAAGCGGAACAGAATGAGTGATGAAGCCCTTATGGAGATTATGTAAACAAAGTGCTCTATATTTGCTACATAGTGTGCTTACTATCACACAATCTTTCCACTATGTGATCAGGTTGAACAAAGATTTACTAGAACACTTTTGGGTGGTGAGTGGAGGTGGGCAACTGTAGCTGGTCTGGGGGCCAATTTCATGCTGCATGATGCTCTCAAAGCTGTATGGATTACAGAAAAATAAAGCAGAAAAGTCCTAAAGAAGTCTCAATTTATATGTGTGTGTGTGTGTGTGTGTGTGTGTGTATATATATATAATATACATATATATATATATATATAATATATATATTAAATTGGACAAGGAGGATTTGCAACTTTGCAACAAGGAGGATTTGCAACTTTGCAACTTTTTAAAAGGTAACTTGTTGCACCTGAACATTTCCAAGAATAGCAATTCATCATTTTTTGGCCATGAAAAGGTCGATGTGGAGATTCTAGAAGCATCAAGGGACACAAAACAATCCTTGTGGGGGTCATATGTGACCCCAAGACACACTTTGCCTACTCTTGGTTTACAGAAAGGAGTAGACAAAGGGCCATTACAGACTGCCAGAAATAATGCAACTTGAGTCCACTTTAACTGCCCTTGCTCAGTGCTAGGGAATCATGGGAACTGTAGTTTCTTCTGAGACATTGAGCCTTCTTTGTCTGAGAGCTCTGGTGCCACAATAAACTACAGTTCCCATGATTCCCTAGCACTGAGCCAGGGCAGTTAAAGTGGACTCAAGTTGCATTATTTCTGGCAGTCTGTAAAGGCCCAAAGAGTATGCATGTGGCCCCCAGTGGTGTTTTTGTGGCCTCAGGGATCAAATATTTTTTGTCCACGTATTTTCAAAATGTGTTCAAAATTGTTCAAGAATTTACGACGCTCTGAAATGACTAAAATGATCCCTAAGAGGTGTGGAAGGCATTTCCATCATATTTGGACCTTCTCTGGAATCCCAGGGTCAACGTGAATTTTTTCAGGTTTTTACAAAATGCCCCCCCAAACATGCTCCTGTGTCTCTTAGAGGGCAATTGGGGCATTCAAGGGCAAAATATGAATCCCCCTCACCCCTATGGGAGCAGCTATGATGGAGTTGTCGTGTTCTACTATGATAGCATTCAGAATCTCTTGGAAAAAGAGGCTTGCTGCCCATATTCTGGGGACTGTAGATCTCGGTAGTGTGGCCAAGTGATCTAAGGTGTTGGCTCTGTACGGCTATAGGTTTGAATCTCACTGCTGCCAGTATATTTTGGGATCCAATGTGGTATAGTAGTTTGAGTGTTCAATTAGTACTCTGGGAGCCAGGGTTCAAATCCCTGCTCAACCATGTAAAGCCGCTGGGGATGCATCTACACTATAGAAATACACTTGAAGTTCTGTAGCCCCACACAATGGAATCTTGGGGTTTGTAGTTTTACAAGGTCTTTAGTTTGCTCTGTCAAAAAGTGATGGTGCCTCACAAAAATAAACATCCCAGGATCCTGTTAGATGGCATCATGGCAGTTAAAATGGTGTCCAACTACATTATTTCTACAGTGTAGATGCACATTGAGTAAATCAGTCTCTCAGCCTCAGGGGAAGGCAAAGGCAAACCCACTGTGAACAAATCCTGCCAAAAACCCCATGACAGGCTCGCCATAAATTGGAAACAACTTAAAGGCAAATATCACCACCACAATGACTACGTTCTGAGAGGGTGTTGACAATGTTTTGGAAGTCATGATCCCTCCTGAATCAGTTCCCACAGTTCTCCTGAGAAGGGAATGGCTTTTCTACTCAATAAAACCCCTGGTATAGATATGGCTTTAAGATGCTGACTATTTTCTGGCTTGGATCAGAGCATAACGAAAGCCATGCATCTTTCCAAGTCAGGTCATAATGGCTGACTTGGAGATTTCCAATAAGAAAGATGTTAATAATTAAGGAAGCTTAAATGAATTGAGCGACGTTCATTTCAAACCATGCATTCTGCCCACATAACCAAATGAGAATTATGCAAGTTGGAAGTTGCAGTGCGTGCTGATCTCTCTGCTGTGTATCATAAATGCAAAGGTTTACTGCAAGTATGTTCACTTGAACCTGAAGAAAACTTTATAGAGTGCAATTTACCCTTTTCAGTTCCTGGCTCTTAATGGTCATCTAAAGAAGATAAAGCAGGCATTTTTATAGAAGGCATATTGGTGGACAAAAAGAAAAGCAAGGGGCCAAGGAAAGTGGAAATGCTTGGCACCTCATATCCCAAGATGATTTTCTAATATTTTCTTCCCACTCCTTTTTGGTACCTCTCTGTTCCCTTTTGATTTACTCCACCCTTCCTCCACCTCACAAATGGAGATGAAAGACAGAAACTAGGAGTGATCTTGAAATGTACCGTACCAACAGGTACCATATTATTAGCAGGAAGTTCTGATCACACCGCCTTGCAATGACCTACCTATTCTCTGCAAGAATTGCCACCAATCTAGTGCCAGAAACGCGAGACAAAGACAGCCTGCCATTCTTTGATTTTACAAAGGCGACTTAAAAATAATAACAACATAAAGCGGTCTGGGGGCATTTCATCCTCCCTAGGCAATTAAAGCAAAAACCTCTTGCCACCGAACAGACAGGACTTCTGAAGACAGAGAGATTTGGCTACAAGAGAGGAGCTTTTGTTCCAGGTTTCCTCTTCTTAAAGGGCTAATAATAGGCTGGAAAAAGTGGCTTTGCTAGTTCTTTAGGATTAACAGGGATTTTTTTTTTTGCCCCAGATTCTTGCAACCTTTTTTTTGTTTGCAGTCCCATTTTATCCTCTTTCTTACAGACATCCAAGGTCAAAAAATTGATATTGAGGGTCAGAGCCATTAAAGTAAGTGTTCATCCTCACAGAGTGAAAAGCATCTCCCATTATCAGCCTGCCTTACTTTTAAGTTCTTCAGGGAAAGGCTTTCTTGCCCTTCCATCACCATTATAGATGCACTTAGTGACAACCCAGGACAGAGTCTTCTTGGTGGCTGCTCCCAAGTTGTGTAACTCCCTCACATGGGAGGTTTGGTTGGCCTCCTGTCTTCTCTTTCTGCTAGCAGCCAAAGATCTTTTTATTCAAGTAGATCTTCGGATTTTAAATTATGGCAGCAGAAGGTTCTTTTAATGGGGTGTGCTGTGCTTTTATCTTTTTTAAACATTGCTTTAATATGTTTTAAGCTGCTTTAATTTAGTGTTTTCAATCAAATTATTTGCAGTGGGCCCTCGGTATTTGCTGGGGTTGGGTTCCAGGAGCTCCCATGGATAACAAAATCAGTGGATGCTCAGGTCTCATTATATACCAATGGATATAATGGAAAATGGTGTCCCTTATATAAAATGGCAAAATCAAGCTTTGATCTTTGGAATGTATGTATTTTAAAAAATATTTTCAAACTGTGGATGCTTGAACCCACAGATAAAGAATCCATGGATACAGAGAACTGACTATTTTATGCTTTTTCAAATTTTGTGTCAATTAAGTTTTGCTTTACAGGCATACCTCAATTAACAATGCTTCTGACAGTGAAGCTCCTTTTTGAAAAATCTTTTAAGATCCACACAGCAACCTCTTTTCTTCCTCATCCTCTGTCTAGCTAGCAGCATCAGAACTGGGAGAATAGTGAATTAAGGATGGAGAAGAAGACTTAAGGTATTGGATTGCAGCAGTGCTTGTAAAGCAAACAATGAAATTTGTGCCAGCTGAACTTACTGTAGCCATATGTGTGTCCACCTGCAACAGGCATGGCAAGAAGAAGCTGGCTCCTGAATCTCTTACTGAGCATGCATGAGCAGCAAAACAAAGAAAAGGGGAGAATAGATAAGCCTGCCTTACTAGCTATCTCCAACATGTTAAAAAACAGAGAGCTATAAGTTTGGCCATCAAAATGGAAATCATAAGAAAAGTGGAGGCAGATGAAAGAAAAAGTTATCCCTGGATGCAATGTAAAAGAAGCCTTCAAGCAAGAGATGGATCAAAATGTGTGTGTGTGTGTGTGTTTTAGAAATTCAAGGTATACATTACTTGGTTGTTTCACTTTACACCTGCATATTGTTGGATTTGGATAAAAAAGCCTTTTCAACTACTCTTCTTTTATGGGGTCTAGGAATCTGTCCCTATTCTTTCCACATCATTTCTGCCCTTGATACCAGGAACACATATACTTCATTAACTGAAGTATACATGTACTTTGTTTTAATTTGTTGTAAGTTGCTTTGGGTCCTGTAGTGAGAGAGAGAACAAGAAATAAATAAAATAAATAAGGCTGAAGTACAGTTGTTTCATACCAAACAAAAGAATGGTATGTTCATTGGGCAGAAACAGTGGGTCAACATGTGCTTGGCAAAAAATTTTTTAAAAAATAATAAAGGCTCCCAGCTTTTGGGTTTCTCCACTGAGTTTAAGATAGCTGAACAGCAGAAGATGAGCAAGGCAAAGAGCTATATAGAAGAGAACTTCAGGAGATGGCTCAGAAGGGCCTGGGATGACAACTCCTTAGTTTCTGTGAGGGACAAAGTCCTTGGAGCAAGAAATTATTACACTTGGGAAGTGGTTAAAAGAAAACGTTAGGAGGGATCTCTCTTTAGTGGTGTATAGTCACCCCTCCAAAACCGTGGACTTGGAATCTGTGGTTTTGATTATTCATGGAGGGGCGGCCTTCGTTTTAATGAATGGGATGTGCACCCATAGTGCGTACTCCATGCGCTCCCATGGAAGCATGCCCCATTCAAGCCTATGGGGCTTGAATATGCACAGTTTTCTTTTTCATGGGGGGAGGGGGGTCTGGAACAGATCCCCCGTGAAAAAGGAGGGATGACTGTATTTATGATTGCTATGGCCTCAGAGAGAGAAAAGACTAGGTAGGTGCACTTCCATCCTGCCTTATCCCCCAGCAGTGGATGAAAGGTCCTCCTTCCATGAAAGGTCCTCCTTCCATCCCAACTGCCACTGTCCTGGCCTTGGAGGGAGAAAAGAAGAGGGAGGCACAGCTCTATCATGCCTAGGCCCAAAAGCAGATGAAAGGCCCTCCATCCATTCCAAATGCCATTGCTCTGGCCTTGGAAGGACAGAAGAAGACGAAGGTTCCAGCAGCTGAGGAAATGGCCTCCTTCAATCTAGCTGCAATTGCCCTGGCTTTGTAGAGAGAGAAGAAGCAGCTCAGCCCCATTGCTTAAGCCCAGAAGCTGAGGAAAGGTCCTCCCTCCATCCCAACTGCCATTGCCCTTGCCTTGGAGGGAGAGAAGAAGCAGCTTGACTCCATCACTTCAGCCCAGAAGCTGAGGAAAGGTCTTCTCTCCATCCCAGCTGCCATTGCCCTGGCCTTGGAAGGAGATAAGAAGAGGGAGGCACAACTCCATTTTGCCCTGATCCAGAAACTGAGGAAAGACCTTCCCACCATCCCAACTGCCACTGCTATGGCCTCAGAAGGAGAAAAGAATAGATAGTATTAATAGATAGATAGGTAATAGACAGACTTAATTCTCTCCCCAACTGCCATTCCCTTTTCCTTATTTAGATTCTAAGGCAGGGCATTGTCCAATTAATGACTTGTAAGCTGCCCTGGAAGCCCTTCTGTCTGAAGTATGAGATATAAGTATTCTAAATAAATAAATAAGTACTCACATTGCAAGGGTGGGATGGGAATCAGAGGCTGCATCTGCACTGCAGAAGTAATCCAGGTTGACATCACTTTAACTGCCATGGCTCGATACTATTGAATCTTGGGATTTGTAGTTTATTGTGGCACCAAAGCTCTTTGACAAAGAAGGTTAAATAGCTCACAAAACTACATAGCTCAGAATTTCCACAGCACTGAATCATGGCTGTTAAAATGGTGTCAAAATGTTGTTTTTTTCTGCAGTGTGGATGCAGTCCCCAGCCTCCTGGATGGACACTTAGGTCAGGATCCTGTGTCCAGAAACTGTATGTCTCTGTTGCTATCTCTCTCAATGCTACTCCTCAAAATTCCTCTATTAAGCAACACAGCTTCTGTTCCACATGGTCATTTCCATGTTGTTGGACAGTAGAGGAGTGGGGATCCATCCAGTTATTTTCACGTAGCTAAACAGGCTGTGAAAGGCAGACACCTCGGGTTCCTTGCAGCACATCCAGCTATGAGAAAATACAGAACAGAATTCTGACCTATGGAATGACCATAAAAGTCAGCCATAATGGTTTAAGTCCAACTTACGCTGTTGTAATTCACTAACGGGATGGCAGCCCAGTTCTTTAAAGAGATGGGGAGATGGTTTGTGATGGGAATGTTGACTGTGTTGTGATGTGTAAAAATGGTGGGCATCATAAGCAAGAAAGAAAGGCTTCTG